TCTCATATCACGAAAGTTCGAGGTGACAATTCTCTTAAGAAAATCAGAGGGGATTAAAGGCCTTCCGAACAGATAATTTACCGAAACGATCCATTGGGTAACCCTGAAAACGATGGTTTTGCGCAAAGGTTGAAAAGATGTCCCTGTGAAACATTTTTTGTGCCCAACGCGCCAATTAACGCTGTCCACGTTTCTAAGCAACAGACTTGCGTCATGCTGCTCGAGTGACATTGCTGACATTCCTGAGAGTGAATGAGAACGTATTGGCGATGGGGATGGCGATCTGCGAGAGTTTATGTCTGGTTGTCTAGACCCTGATGTTTGGCATGGATACATCCTTGGTAAATCAAATTGATCAAACGCATTTCGCATCTGTGTGGATGATCGCGGTGTTCGTGATCGCCACATCGCGTGTACCGCGCGCACGCTCGCGCGCAATACGCTCGCAACCATTTTCACCCTTACCCACTGGCGCGCACTGGTCTCAGGTACATTGCTTGCGCGTAAAAGTAGCAAAAAACAAAAAGTAAACAGGAAAGTAAACTAGAACCTTTGCTTTTATTCAGATGCTGCCCAGTGAATTGTGTGGTCAGGCCCTGGTCATCTTGGGGAAGTTGTAACGCGGCATGTGAAAAAACTGGCAACCGAGCTCGCAGCCGGACAATTACAACCCACCCCTCATGCAAAGGTACTCCGTGTCCAACACTAAAGGAAACCAAGTCATGTCAAGGACCCTGCTGTCCAAGAGACTGCCAGGTGAGTAGAACAATGCACATATGTAGTCTACTTCTTCGCTGGTGCTCAGCGACTTGTCAGGTAAATATATTCGCCGAACTACACAAAAGAATGGAATTTGCGAGTGCCGAACAAAATTCCTGTATATATTGTGACAGCATTGCGTAAATTTAAATTCTCTAACTCGTTTCGAAATGCCGAAGACACTACCCGTTGGCCCCTTTACGTGAATTATCGGGCACGAGTCACATTTATCTTATCCTCTGCTTAATTAAGGAAACGATAGCGTGCTCTAAACAGTCGGAAA